TCACACTTGACTGTTTTACCAACGCTTGCCAAATGCCCCTATAGCGTTTGGCAAGCGTTGGTCCGGCGTTTGCGGAGCGTTTTTTAACGCTCAGCAAATGCTCCGCAAACGCCACATGCGCAGTTTAGCGGCAGTTGCTAGGCATTTGCCGAGCGTTAAAAATGCCCCACAAATGCCTATAATGAAGTTTAAATGGTGTTACCGCTCCGCAAACGCCCCACAACCGCGTCGCCACCCTCCTATTCTAGTCTATGGTGCTGCTCCGCAAACGCCCGGCGGCGGCGTTTGCGGAGCGGCACCATAGACTAGAATAGGAGGCTTCAACGCCTCCTGACTCGACCAGAGGCATCCATTTTGCCATGACGCGACGCTAACGCTCCCGTTAGAACAGCACCATGTGCTGCAATGTGCAGAATTGTCCGAGGCATTTGGGAAGCGGTAAAAAACGCTTCCCAAACGCCTCTCTGCCGCCTGCACACAACGCTAGTGTGAACGTAGCCTTACAGTTTTGGTTGTAACATGACAAAATGTGGAAATTTACAAGGGGTATGAATACTCTTTCAAGGCACTGTATATTGAGCCACAGAAGGTAGAACTATATAAAGCTTAGAGCATATCCAAAGCCAAGAACAAATAAAACATATTTTGCAGGTGAATCTGCCAGTGACACACTTCCCGTTCTAAGATGACAGTGCTCACTCTACACTGTACTGTATTTCTGGTAGAGCAGCATTGTCAACCCCATGGCAGGAGGTGTATTAGGATGACAGAACACCCACCGCGGCCTCCTCCCCATAACATATAGCGGTATAGTACTGTAGTCCATGAAGAAAATGGGGCAGGGCTGATAACAATGTTTGAGATAACACTGCATAGAGCACAGGTAATTACAAGTTGACTGGATTTCTGGCAGGATCAACTGTTTTATTGTTTTATTGGTATTGTTTTAAACTTGGCAAACATATATAACAAAATATATCAATTAATTGGTATATTTAACAGACCACAAGGAAGTCGATAAGAGAAGTTAATTGTTAGTATTTACATACATTTTAACTTTTCCTTCAAAGTTAGGAGGAGGGACAAAGTGTTAGGCTAATGATAAATGTTAATCTGAACATTAGGAAAACAAAAATTCTTTCCCTTCCTCTCCTCCAGCATTACAAGGGTTAACTGCTCATTTATGTCTAGGGGATTGAGTAAAGCACTTTTAGTTACCTGATCCTCGGTTCCCCCAGGGTCATCCCTGCTACTAGTCTGGTCCCCGCAGCCTCTAATTCCTCTGATATCATCTAGACCAGAGGTCTTCAAACTTTTCAAACAAAGGGCCAGTATACTGTCCTTTAGACTTTAGGAGGGCTGGATTAGGGCCAGTGAGGATAGAAAATGTCCTAGCTCCAGCATCAGTGACAATAAACATGGCCGCAGGGTTGATGGTCAGTAGGAGCAGTAGTGCCCCATCATTGGTATTAGTGGGAAGAATAGTGCCCCATCATTGGTTTTAGTGGAAGAAGTACTGCTCCATTGTTGGTCTCAGTGGGAGGAATAGTGCCCCAAGGGCTGGATAAAGGGTAGCAAAGAGTCACATCTGGCCCTCGGGCCGCAGTTTGCAGTTTGGAGACCCCTGATCTAGACAAATGTAGTGACCATAGCCCTGCATTAGATGTGAGGATGCAAAGGGACAGTCCACTGTAGGAGCATAGAGGAGCACCAACTGCCACTCTAGACTAAATGAGCAGTTAACCCTTGCAGTGCAGGTGCTGTCCCTCTTCAAGTGAAGACTTTTAATTTCCTGGAGATCAGCTTTAAGGATGGGTGATAGTTGGGGAAGCACGGTGCCTAGTGGGAAATCCTATGTATGCTTTTAGTATCTAAAGTCCCACACCCAAATGTACTGTTCAAAGTTTCTGGCACGGAACACCTTTTAGTTTTCCATGTGGATAATGGACCCACTTACATGAAAACAATGTAGATATCAGCATACGTTTTACATGTTTTTATATCCTGCAAGCTCCAGCAGATCCTAATGATCCTAACACAAAGAATGACCCTTTGGCAATAACAAGAGTATTGTTTTGGGGACATATATATTTCTAACTACTCATTTCCTTTCCAGCTACACAATTGGGAAGCCATAAACTATACAATTTGTCTGCACACCAATTACTCATGGAATTATTTATTTTCAGAGGTTCACTCATCCCTACTTTTCATCCTTCTGAATCCTTTCCTAAATTTTAAAAAGAAAAGATCACTTTTAAGTACAAAATAAAGACCCACTCACATCTGTGCGCTTTGCCTGAACTTCGGATAACATTTGTCTTGCTTTTCAGTTTTATCTTGTGTGGCTTTTCACATACATGCACTTAAGGAGATTATATTGTCTGAAAATGCTACATACTTATGTAACCAATTTCTGATTGGCATTTAAGTAAATTAAGTTTGGAAAAAGAAACGTTAACTGAAAACTTTTGATAGGTGGTCACAAATAAAACACTTAAAATTGTCAAAATGCTTTGTTGTGCATGGGTCCTATCTATACAAAATCTTAAACGTGTAAGGATATTTTGATTGGTGAAAATGACAAATAAATTTGCAGCCCATAGCAACCAATCGGGTTTTCGCTTTCACTCCGCAATGAAAGGGAACAATAATTTTACCCCTGACATGTAAAACTACAGTTTTTCACTCTTCCAGTCTCAGGTTACATGTTCTTGAGATGCAATGGCACGCTATAGGGCACTGACATGTCAATGAAGACTCAATGCAGAAGTGCTGTAGGTCATGTGGCCCAGTATACTTGGTTAAGGTCATGTGACTTGGAACCAAAGCACAGCGGGAACAGATTTTTACAGCTTTGCAGTAAGTGATTAATATATTTACTGCCATGGCCAGTCTTTCTTTGGTTTTGGAGACTAATAGGGTAATAAGTCCCAACTTCATGGCTTTTGTCCAGTTTGAGTGAGGGATTGCATTACTTGTTCTGGACAATGGCTTGAGTCTTTATACAACCAGCTGCTTTCACAATAACTGTTAGTATATTCTAAATTAAAAGTTAAAATGTCATTAAGAAACAAGACCCTAGGGAGTGCTTAAAACACTGGAAACCAGTCATTCGTCTTCTCCCTAGAAAAGTGTTTACTTACCTGCAAGTGATAAGCTGACTACGTGAAGGTGTGTTTAAGGTCATGTGACTTGGAACTGAAGCATAGCGGGAGCAGGGTTTTACAGCTTTGTGGTAAGTAACTAATACATTTATTGCCATGGCCAGTCTTTCTTTAGTTTAGGAAATTATTAAGCTAAGAAGACCCGACTTCATGGTTTGTGTCCACTTTGAGTGAGGGATTGTGTTACTTGTTCTGGACAACAGCTTGAGTCTTCATACAACCAGCTGCTTTCACAGTAATTACTAGTACATTCTAAAGGAAAAATTAAAATGTGAGAAAGAAAACAGACCCTAGGGAGTGCTTAAAACACTGGAAACCAGTCATTCGTCTTCTCCCTAGAAAAGTTTTTACTTACCTGCCAGTGATAAGCTGACTACGTGAAGGCGTACATATGGGTTGCACATAATAATTCTCTAGCTTGACCCCCTCAGCAGCAAGGCGATCCAGCGTGGGAGTTTGTATGTCTGACCCATGGTAGCCTATATCGTGGTACCCCTGGTCATCAGTAAGAATGAAGATGATGTGTGGAGGCCTTGGAGAAGGAGGTGTCTGAAATTCAGCTGGAGCATCACCGGGGCTGTCTCCAAGTACCACTGGCTTCATCCAATCCCAGGACATATAACCAAAACTCAGCAGGCTTACTAGAGAAAATCCTGTTAGTGTTTGAACTGCCATATCCTCACTTTCAGCAGGCTGTCACACAGGTTGGCAAAGCTCTCGTCAGCTGGCTAGTGTCCTGGCATCAGAACATTAATTTTCCCGAAAAGAAAACCCCAACTTGCCATCCAATTTGGATTTTGCAGAATAAAGTCTTAGCAGCAACATGCAGAAGTCAGGGGGCGGTCATCCCTCCTCGAATCTTGTTGGAACCCTTCCAGCAACATGTGCCTACAGGCATTTCTCAGTTTTACAAGTCACACAATCTGTCACTTCACAGGCTCCAACCCAGCCAGGACAAAAAGATGTACTCCAACCTTTAGGTTAATCTCTGCTATTCCTTGAAAGCTAGAAAAACTTGACTGCAAACAATATTGGCTGGCTGCAACAAGGCAGAAGTTAGTAATCTTGTAAAGATGCCGATAAATCCATTCGATCTCTTTGGAATGTCAGTGCTTTCTATTCCAAATGAAAAGAAGACTTTAAACTGAAATCCACCAGTCTGTCCCAGCTACATATCCTCAGGCTTTAACAGTCGAAAGAAAACTTTTTAAGATTTAGATAAATCTGCCAGCCCTGTGGAGAGTTTGTAAGCAGGCCAAGCAGAACTTTGGAATTTTTCCCTGAACTTATCTGAACGCTCAGACAGGGGAGAAAGAGAGACTCTCTCTAGACAAAAGACGAGAGAAGTGTCCAATTAAATTAGTAGTTTGTAGCATCTGTTTGGATCTGACCAGCGCTGGCAGGTTTAAGGAGAGCTCGGGATGCTGGTCCCTCCCAGTTCCTCCAATCCAAAAGGAAAGCTTTTAAAAGTCAGCCCAGGACACTCCAGGGTCCTAGTGTGCTCCCTTTTTTTTTAACACCAGATGCAGTGAGCTGGGGTGGAATGAATGGCCTTTTCATTTGTTTATGTTTTCATTTTATAGGAAACTACAGAGAGAACATTTTCACTTAATATTGCAAAATGTACCTAAAAGCAATTTCTGATGTGATGTTTACATTTATTTTGAAACATTAACCAAATACAAGCTCACAGCACTGCCTTCTATACAACAGTGCAAAACATATTCACCTATACAGTATATTAACTGCTTTCCCGCTGCACTATAGCAGATATACTGCTACAGGGTGGCAGGGGTGTGCAAAATCCTGTATATATATATTTATATATATGTGATTTTGCATTTCTGGATAAGAGGCGCACTCAAGCTGCATGCACACCATACCTGAGCCGCTATTCGCGGCCTCAGCTGTCAATCACTGGGTCCTTGCTGGTAATTACTCGCTGGCACTAGATGATCGCGGAGCATTACCGACGGAGGGAGAGAACTGTATGTAAACAATACAGTTCTCTCCCCTGTCAGCTCCTGCACACTGCTTTGCATGGCTCTGCATAGCAGTGTGCTTACAGTGCTTACAGTTGAAAGCACACACACAGTACAAAATAAAACAGCACACAGTTAACCAATGGATCACCCCACATGTTAACCCCTTCCTGTCCAGTGCCATTAGTATAGTGTCAGTGCTTTTTATTAGCACTGATCACTGTATTGGTGTCACTGGGGATGTCAGTTCCCCCCAGTGTCAGAATGCCCACCGCAGTCTCGCTATAAGTTGCCAATCACCACCATTACTAGTAAAAATAAAAGAAATTTTAAATCCCAGTATATATACCGCCATTTGTAAACACTATAACTTTCACATAAACCAATTGATATACATGTATAGGGATTTTTTTTTAGCAAAGTCATGTAGCAGAATACATTTTGGCCTAAAATTATGATGAAATTTGATTTTGAACATGTTTAATAGCAAAAAGTCAAAAATATTTTTTTTTTCAAAATTGTCAGTCTATTTTTTTTATAGCGCAAAAAATAAAAAACGCACAGGCGATCAAAAACCACAGAAAGAAAGCTCTATTCGTGGGAAAAAAAGGATGCAAATTTAATTTGGGTGGAGTGTTGCATGACAGCGCAATTGTCAGTTAAAATAATGCAAAAAATGGCTTGGTCAGGAAGGGTAAATCCTCTGGAGGACAAGTGGTTAAAATGAATGAGATGTTTTATAAGGTATTTGTTTACATACTGTATACTTTAATGATAATCAATCAACATTTGTAATACTCAGGAGGAGCCAACTTCCACAAGAAAGCTTCCATCTGAGTACCCTGCAACCCCCCCCCCCCCCCCTCCAGACTACTGAGAGCAACTTCCTGGTGTTGGACTTCAATACTGCCTTGGAAATGACAGTTGTTAAAACATGAATGTGATACATCAGACAAAGAGGGAAAGAGGCAGTAAAACAACACAGACTCAAGATGCAAAATACTCAGGTCACATTCAAGGAGCTCTCTGAAATCTGGCTGTGGTGGATTACATAGAATCAGATTAAAGTGAATTGAAAGGGCTTTCTGACCTAAACAGAGATTTGATATTTCCTTGCCAGCATTAGTTTACTAATTTATTTAACTTGTCTGTAAATGTTCTTAAAAGAGAAGTTTGGGGTTCCAAAATGGACAAACACTCGGCTACATGATGCAGCATTGGTGTGATGCTGCAGCTGTCCCCCAACATCTCTAAAACCAAGCGACCACGTGACTGCTGATCATTCAGTTCTTGGTCTTCCCGGAGCAGAGATTGGTGATTTTCAGTTACCGCTTTCTGCCCTGCCCCTCCAGTGTTTACTGAAGTGCCGGGTTGGCAATCACAGATGGCTTCAGCTCTCAGCCTCTCGCTGGCAGCCAGAGCCAACTGTCAATCATGCAGTTAGGTGGATCCCAACAAAATGGTCGGGATCCTTCCAGAGCAGGGAGTGGCTCTGTGGCGTCAACTGACAGGAGTAAGTGCACTCCTGCGACCCACAAGAGAAGTTTGGCCAAAAAAGCTTTGGCCATATTCCTCTTTATAAAAGAGCAGCAAAACCAAAATACAAGACAGGAAAAACTCACAAAGGTGATAATGTATGTCAAACAGGGGCGGACTGACCATTTGTAAACTCGGGCACTGTCCGAGGGCCCGGGGTCAGTAGAGGGCCCCATGAGATGCCCCTGGTACCTTTTTCATAGGCTTTTTTGAGTTTGGGCAAGGACACAGGGGCCCCATGATCCCCTATTTCCTGGGGGCCCCATGAGTTGTCAGTCCGCCCCTGATGTCAAAGGACAAACAGCTTGACATCTCTCTCAGGAAAGTTCCCTTCACTTCAATGGTAAACAGAAGTTGTGATGCAGAAACACAGGCCAAATGCAGTATGTAAGGCACACATCGATACCAATTATGTTTATGTACAGTTGTGTTCAAAATAATAGCAGTCAGACATCACTAACCTGATCAATCACTGTTTTTTGTAGAAATTATATTTCTACATGGCAAATAATTTACTAGCAGGTGCAGTAGAGTAATAGAAATCCAACAGACCCAACAGTCATGACATGCATGCTGCTGCTGATTCTGTGTAACTGAATCACTAATTGAAAGGGGCATGTTCAAAATAATAGCAGTGTGGAGTTCTATTAGTGAGCTCATTCATTCTTTGAAAAACAGATGGCAATTATTGCCCTTATTTAAGAAAGGAAGGCAGCAAATGTTGTACATGTTGGTTACAGTGCATTTCTCTCTGAAATTCTGAGGAAAATGGGTTGTTCCAGACATTGTTCAGAACAGCGTACCTTGATTAAAAAGTTGATTGCAAAGGGGAAAACATATAAAAAAGTGCAGAAAATTATAGGCTGCTCAGCTAAAATGATCGCAAATGCTTTAAAATGGCAACCAAAACCTGAAAGACGTGGAAGAAAGCGAAAAAACTATCATTCAAATGGATAGAAGAATAGCCAAATGGCAAGGACTCAGCCAACAATCAGCTCCAGGAAGATCAAAGAAGGTCTAAAGTTACCTGTGAGTACTGTTACAATTAGAAGACACCTATGTGAAGCCAAGCTATCTGCAAGAAGCCCCCGCAAAGTCCCACTGTTGAAAAAAAGACGTGCTGAAGAGGTTACAATTTGCCGAAGAGCACATTGACTGGCCTAAAGAGAAATGGCGCAACATTTTGTGGACTGATGAAATTAAGATTGTTCTTTTTGGGTCTAGTTTCCGGAGACAGTTTGTCAGACGACCCCCAAACACTGAATTCAAGCCACAGTACACTGTGAAGACAGTGAAGCATGGTTGCGCAAGCATCATGATATGGAGATGTTTCTCATACTACGGTGTTGGGCCCTATTTATCGCATACCAGGGATCATGGATCAGTTTGAATAAATCAGAATACTTGAAGAGGTCATGCTGCCTTATGCTGAAGAGGAAATGCCCTTGAAATGGGTGTTCCAACAAGACAACAACCCCAGTTCCCGGATCTTAATCCAATAGAAAACTTGTGGGGTGACATCAAAAATGCAGTTTCTGAGGCAAAACCAAGAAATAGAGAAGAATTGTGGAATGTAGTCCAATCATCCTGGGCTGGAATACCTGTTCACAGGTGCCAGAAGTTGGTTGACTCCATGCAACACAGATGTACAGCAGTTCTTAGAAACAGTGCTTATACAACTAAATATTAATTAAGTGATTCAAAGGAAAGCAAAATCTTCAAACATTTTTCAGTTTATATAGTGAAAGTTTGAGTTTGTAAAACAGAATACAAACACTGCAATTTTTTTGAACAGTCTAATATTCACTTTTCTTCAATTGTTTTTAGAGGAACAACACAAATTTGATATATTTTTTCTTCATGTTTTGACTTGGAATAGAATGTGTAGTGTTCCCAATGCATTTGTGTGTATGGAAATAAAAGCTATTAGAAGGATTTTGAGCTTTATTCACTTTTTTCAACACACTGCTATTATTTTGAACACAACTGTATATGGGTTTCCAGCACTTACCTTGCTCTGTGTGCATGAAAACCTCTGGAAGAAAATGGAATTCCCATGCATATACTAATGCACACAGTAGGCCTTAACTTGGATTTCTTAAGACTTTTCTATCCACAATGCACTCACTCCCCCTCTCTGTTGGGGTCCCTCAAGGCTCCGTCCTCGGGCCCCTTCTCTTGTCCATCTACACCTCCTCCCTAAACCAACTCATACACTCTCATGGCTTCAACTACCACCTATATGCCGATGACACACAAATCTATCTCTCAACCCCCCACCTCACCACCTCAGTCTCCGCCCGAATCACACACACCTACTGAGCGACATATCAGACTGGATGTCGCTCCACTTCCTTAAACTGAACCTCTCCAAAACCGAGTTTCTTGTCTTCCCCCCAGCCCGGACACCACCCCCCATTGACTTCTCCATCACATCCAACAACGCAACCATCAAACCCGTCCCGCAGGCCAGAGTACTTGGTGTCTTTCTGGACTCCAACCTATCCTTCCAGCCCCAAGTCCAATCTTTAACAAGCTCGTGCAGACTCCACCTCTGCAACACCGCCAAAATATGCACGTTCCTAACCCCAGAAACCACTAAACAGCTCATCCACTCCCTCATCATATCACGACTCGATTACTGCAACTCCCTCCCTCCTTACTGGCCTGCCTCGCCGCTGGCTATGCCCGCTTCAGTCGATCCTGAATACGGCTGCCAGACTCATTCACCTTTCCAACCGCTCCATTTCCACCACCCCCCTCTGCCAATCCCTTCACTGGCTTCCGATTGCGCAACGGATCAAATTCAAAATCCTAACACTGACATACAAAGCCGTCCACCATACTGCCCCGAACTACATCACTGACCTAATATCCAAGTACCGCCCAGCACGCACACTCCGCTCCTCACAAGACCTCCTTCTCTCTAGTTCCCTGGTCTCCTCCTCCCATGCCCGCCTCCAGGACTTCTCCAGGGTGTCACCCATCCTCTGGAACTCCCTGCCCCAAGCCATCAGATTATCACCTACTCTCCTCTCCTTTAGGCGCACCCTGAAAACCCACCTCTTCAAGGAAGCCTACCCCACCCCCTGCTAACTTGCCAACCTCCTCCACTCTTCCTACCACCCCATCCCCCACAGCTATCTCCTCCTGTGCCACCATCCCCTCCCTCCTAGATTGTAAGCTCGAAAGAGCAGGGCCCTCGATCCCCTCATGTTTTGCATTGTATTGTTAATGTTCTGTCACATGTTCTGTCCCCCTTTGTAATGTACAGCGCTGAGCGAACTATTGGCGCTTTATAAATACTGTATAATAATAATATTAATAATAATAATAATATCAAGTAATAGCAATATTAATGAATTCCTATATTCCACCAGCACCAATTTAACTGGCTTGATCAGGTCTTAAGGTATATTGAAAACCATTTTTTTTTTCATTTGTGGGAAGAGAATGGTTAAATATCTAGTCAAGTTCTGTTGGGGAGATTATGCTTTACTTAGCTGTCCTATAGAAGCAAAAAGAAGTGAGAAACAAATTGAGTAAAAAACTCCCTCTAATGACTCATTCACAAAAGCCCTCATTCGTTATGCTCCATATAACATATGCGTACTGGTTTGTGGAGTGAAGGGTGGAGTGATGAATTGTTACTATGCATGAAAAAGATTAAATTTAGTTTTTTTTAAAACTTTGTTAAAATGTCACAAAATCCTGAATTTTTATGCACTGCTGAATTTTTATGCAACAGACTG